CCATAGCAAACCAGTCTTAGCTGAGGATCTTTCTGAATGATTATCTGTCTAAACTAGTTTTTTTTGTAACCAAAAGGCGTATTATGTTAGCTTTCCTGACACAGTTTCGGTGCTAGCTTCTACTGATACATTCAAGCCGATAATCTGTATCCAGAAGTTGAGAAAATGTTTTTCCCTCTCTGTTTGATAAAATTTTTATACGTTTTGGCATTTTTATTTAAATGTAAAAACGCATATTGTGACGATGTATTTGTGTGTGTGTGTGTGTGTGTGTGTACATGAATGTGTGTATATTATGGTTGCGTGCGTCTATCCGGGTATTCATCTCGACAACCAGGAAAACTTTTACTTTGAAAATTTTCCATTAGTTCTTCAGGCCCGGGAACAGGAACAGCTAGGTTATTTTCAGTGAACGATCGATAAACGGAAACCATTCATTTTCCTTTATGCAAAATTTATGGTTTCATAGTTGAGTGCACAAGTTAAATACAAAGCAACGACCATTCATACAGTTACCGATTTGATAACTTCAATTTTAGCACAAAAACGCATGACCACATCGACAGCTGATGACTAGGAACCTTGATTCAATGATAAAATACTACTAAGGCATGCCAAGACGTCATAAGGCATTTAAACTGTTCCTTAAGCTTTTAATGGAAGCCAGTGACGGGTTTTACGAGTATGTGGTTGCTATCGATAAATTAGTGTCATTTTGAGATGAGAAAACGGAGGGAGTTTTGGCATCTGAACGAAAAGTTTGACTGTGTTTGTCGGATTTTTACCGAAATTGTCGTTTTTGTAGCATTTTTTGAAGACTGGTTGCAAATTAGCAATTGGTTTTTTTTTTAATGTATAGCTGTTTATTTCCGTGTATTAAGAACTGAACCTCTGACAGGATTTGTGATACATTCCAAGTTCTGCACGTTTCTGAGATGAAAAGATGTACATTGACGAGAATTCTCATTTTTTCCTTCATTTGCATCATTTCAAATACAACCCGTTTTGACGCTTTCTTTGATTCGCAGCGCAGATTTTTCTTTCAGCTACTTTTTATGTTACCACCGTTTGTTTCTGATCTATTTTACTTGCTTTTTTATGATTTCTTATTTTTGATCTACTTGATTTTTTTGTGGTTACGCAGTCGAATTTCTAGCTTTCTTCTTTTGATAGACTCATTCTTCACGCCTCTTGAGACGCTTCTGTCCCGCACACTTTCTGTTTTTGCACAGCGGTAATGCTTTATGTTCTATTATAGTTTTCATGTGAATAGGAATTTGACTTTTACTATGTTTTTTTACATTGGTGTGTTTGAAAGCTATGGATTTTCAGCTCATTGCGTTCGATAATCATGTGCTGGTTGGAAATGTATCCGGAAGATTTCAATGATCCGAGAAGTGATTTTGCCACTTTGATGCGATTGATTGAATTCGGCCGGATTCATAAAATTCACGATCTAAGAACAAAAGCTCGACAGCTACGTGAAACGTACAAACGTCATGTTATGGATGGTCGTTATTTGGGTAATTTTTGCACTGTCTCAGTTTCAAACGTCTAAAACCAACGGATGATCAGGGCACTACGGAGCCACTTGAACTACGGCATTTTTAACGCTCGCCAACAGTTTTCTCTTATTTTTTTAACAACAAGCGCATATATTTGATAGATTTTGTACACTTTTTATAGTACTCTCTTAATCGGAATGCTGTTTCATCGGGTCTAGGAATGGCGGTTCTCTGCACACTCACCAAAAACATCAAAAACTTCAAAGATCTTGCCAAGTGCGCTTTTTGGGAGAGTTGCTGAGCCGGTAACAAAACGAAACGAATGGTCAAGCCAATAGAGCGATAATTTTTTAATCAAAGCAACCATGGAACTTTAGCCCCAGCTAAAGACATCGTTGATAGCTTATCCTCTCTTACCAGTGAATCATTGAGCGTGTTTTGGTTTGATTTTGTTTGGTTGAGAGTTAAGAGCCTCCTGAACTCTCCATTTTCCCTTTCGTTAATCTATCAGCTTTAGATTTTTACTTCAT